GCCAGTAGATTGACTCACCAAGAATTGACCAGGTGCTAAGTGTAAAGATTACGGTTTATTTGTTTGAACAGGTGCGGAAAGGGAAGCCTAACCGCTTCCGGATGTGGAATTACTGCACTATAAAGTCGATTGACCGATAAGACCACAGAGTTCGGTGCGGTTTTAAAAGATCGCGCCCTTTTCAGTAGAACGAGAACGACAAGGCCATCCGCTGAAGATGGCAAAAAGCCGAAACGCATCTAGCAGACCAAAACAGCAAGGATAAGCAGACCAAAATGATTGGAAATGACCAAACCTCTGAAAATTATTATGTTGCATAGCAGAAGCGTTCCTTTCAAGTTTTCAAAACTCTTAACATTTGAAAATAAGATAGTTTAACGATAAAAGACATAAATGCCCCCACAATAACTCAAAAGGCACTTTCAGTGGATAAATTTATCAAGCTATCAAAGAAATCTAAAGTCTATGTCAAATTAGTTGCACTGTGTTTTTTTATCACTCGTTATCGTTTAGCACTAGTTTAGACTAAAATAGTTTAACCTCTATAAATTTTAAAAGGTTATCTAAGGAAGGTATCAACAAACTAATAAGTCCGTTTAAATAGAACCACGCTTCATAAATTCGAATACTCAATTATTTTTTGATCTGAAGAATCTTCCTACCAGCTACCCAAGTTATCGAGCTTAACTTAACTTCGTCTTTGCGTTTTAATTTGTCAATTGCCCGCGCACACGTGCCGTACTTTAGTTTGTCTTATAAATTATGACACAATGCTCCGTGTCTCGAATGGTACACGAGCGCAAACTTATTGCCTCAATTGGCACAAGATGTGGAGGCGACAGGAAATCTCCACTTTATGATGATCACTAATTTAGGCCAACACGCGTATCGATAATACACAAATCCTGGGTTCAATGAGGAAAAACTCCTAAGAAAGCATGATAGGTGTTGTTGGATAAATCTGCCAAAAATTTTGTTTCCTATCATTTTGGTCTGTGTTTTTACCGAAGACACACCACTGAAGATGGTGATAAGCCAGAAAGTATAGGCAAACCAAAATGATTTTTTATGTGTTCGTCAATCAAATTTACTTGCTTTTAACATTATTTGATTACAATTGACTCCTTAATCCGAACTGACTGTGAACGATGTTTCTCAATACTTCTGTTGTTGAAACTTATTTAGTTAAAAAAATTTTTGGATTATTGTGTTCCTGCTCCTGTCTTTTAGTAGCATAATTGCGACATCTTCTACCTTGTGGCAGTAGGGTTCCTCGGAGTCAGCTGCAGTTAGTACCTAGTCTGATAAGCTGGTTTCAGCCTGTCAATATATGACCCAACATGTTTACGTTTGATCCGTAGGGAAAAAAAAATTTGGTTCACACTGTACGACAAACAGGCCATCATAATGTGGACCAAGTGGGGTTTTTTCGACCCACACTGGTAAGAACAAGTGTTGATGTTATAAGGCCGTTTTGAAGATTAAGGTTAAAGTTAGAAAAAGGCTGTTGTGCAATCTTGCAATTGCAATCATTTAGAGCTCTTCGTTAAGTAGAAGGCTTTTTATCAGACCAAAAGGTTTGTTAAGGACTCCCGTGTGTCAGTCCTTGGCTTTTCCTCTTCCAGAAGTAGGAATCTATGCCTGCATAAGCTTTCGCACCAACAGAAGCCTTGTGTCCGTTGTCTCTTCTTTTTTCTATATACATTCCTCCGGAGTCGACAGTGTCCAGTCAGCAGTATTACAATCCTTCTAGTTGTAACACTTTCTTGGGTTCTGTGATATTGATTGATACTTTGATGAATTTATTCCATTCCTCTGTCATGGAATCCCTTTGAACCGACTTATTCTTAACCCATAGTCTGATAGATCTTAGTTTTTGGTAATTTAGTATGACGCAAAATTGTTCAGAGCCGATAGTTGTCCTTGTCGAATTTTCTTTGGCCAATATATTGCCCCCCTCATTGGCCCTATTTTGAGTATCTGGCTGTGAGGTCTTCGTCCAAAACCACCCATCCGTAAGCTACTGTGGGACTAACAATCGCTGTGAGGGGGTCGGTTTTCACGACAAAGGTATGTTCAGTGTCAGTTTCGACGGCATAAAGACTGGCTTGTGATTGTGTACGTGTTCATGAGAGAAACCCAAATATGGCGGCGTGGATACGATGTATTGACGCTAATAGAATCATATCGCTCATATTCTATCTTATGGCAAAAGAAAAATCGTTGTTTGTTGTTCTGTTTTGAAATTTTGGGATCTATTGTTGTCATGTCCAACATTAATTCTAACCTATTCCGTTTTTTATATAAATCATTACGCTGAAACAGATTTTTTATATAATTTTTTCTTATATAAATGAATTTTATATGTTTCATATATGAATTTGCAATTAACGTAGCTGCGCCAATTACTACCATTTTTGTAAACAATTTCTTGTTGAGACATCTAGTGTTAACTGAATTGACTACTGAGTAGCAATAGCAGGCTTGGGCATCCATGAGCCGCTCGGCTCGCAGGAGTACGCCAATGCAATTTTCGCTCTCTGTGTGCTTTTATTCCAAAAAATGTCGGTCAGAGATGACGCCTAGGTATTGTACTTCTTAAGAGAAGAGAATCACAAGTGCCATTTTGTTGGTAAATGGAACTACAATGGTATTTTTAAGGCAAGGTTTTCCGTGTTGATTTATGTCGAGTATTCGATAGTCATAGTCGGTCGATTTGTCGGATTAGGTCGGTCACAAAAGAGTCAGTATTTCATTCTCACCACGGTTCAGGAGAGATATGCCATAGTGGCTGTATGGATGTTTATACTTTCCCTTTATGTCTGCAGGACACTTCATATTCGCTCAGCCTCTTCATTATTTCGTATCATTTTACATGGGTTACGTCACATTATGGTGACTGCCTATGGTTAGCTACGTTTCCGCTAGGCGTCGGCTCAGCTTCAGCAATGGGCCTTCCACGCAGCAGCCAACCAGTTTGCAGCACCCTTGTATATAAGCAGAGCTTAGAGCAAATTCGTCGAAGAGATCTTATCCATGACTCAATAATGGAACAAAAACTGCAAGCATTAGCTACAAAGTACTCTCAAAAGCCGACATCGACATACATCATTCCTTTCATCTTCACCCATCTCGGATTCAAACAGCTCCTCCAATCACCAGCCCTTCTCGGGGCCACCAAAACCCCCAGCTACTGGACAATCACACTGCTTTCTTAACATGACTACATTTTTATTACACCCAAATCATGTAAACATTTATCACTTTTAGAATTTTTAGATTTTGATATTAGGGGGTCATGTGAGTGGCCATTTGTTTTGCGTATTTTGCGTGTATATACATTAGGCTGTCTGACAGGATTAAATATTGGACATGGTTCATAATGTAGCTCGAGGCCTAAGTTTTGTTATTTCCTCTGAAGTAAAAATCGTTGCTGATAATTTGATCTCAGTTACATGGTCGTTGTTGCACTACCGCTGCCTTGACTTTCTCTCTCTCTCTCTCTCTCTCTCTCTCTCACACTCTCTCTGATTTAAATCTACTGTTTTTCTTTTAATTTTCTCTTTTTTAATAAGTTTTTATCCGGAAGCAAATTTAATATACATTTTTTCTTGATCGAGGTAATAGTTTTTATTACATTTATTGACGTAAAAGAATAGAAAATAATTTCTTGCTTCGTATGATGAAAAATTAGCATTGGTCAATATTTGATAGCATTACTCCTTGTAAACACTGAATTTGTTTTAATCCTTAACGTGGGCACGTACAGATAAGAGTTGACTTTTTGTTTCTATTTAAATCGTCCTCTAAAAAATTAGATTACTGTGGAAAAAACAAATGTACGGACTGTTTAAGAACGGAATTCGATTTGTAATAGCCTTGTCATTTTCAAAATTTATTAAGTAGTGAAATTACAGGGAGAAAAATGGAACAAACTATATTTGCTAATTTTATGGGGTACGAGTCTACCCAGGCATTTAACCCCTCGGGTCTTGGTCGTCACCCTGCATAATATAAGTAATGAAATTACAGAGTGAAAAATGGAACAAACTATATTCGCTCCTTGTCGAAAAACGTCATTAAATTAGATATAATCATTAAATAGATAAGGTGACGACTACAGCACAGCCTTGAGACTATTTTTTTTTTTTTTTTTTTGTAAGTAAAAGATAAATATTCCAAATTTGCTTTAAACTGACTTTATTGCATTTTTCTTGCTCGTTACACTAAGTTAAGTCTGATATTGGCGGACCTATAGCATCTAAATTTCATCAAAACTTTTATGCTTTATGTTTACAAATAACTTTTTTCGTTATTTTAAAACAGACGTAATCACCGATGGGCTAATGATTTTATCATTTGACCTCTTTATAGTTTTACTCATTTATTTACAGACAAATGCGTATTATCCTAAGCAAATAAAAATAGTCCTCGCAAGTGAGATGTATTTTTACTTCGTGCACTAGTTAGTTGAATTTGACCAAAATTTCATACCATTTGGAATAAATAATCACTTAGATCAAACCAAACCCCCCCCCACCAAAAAAAACCGCTTTTGTGGTGGGTTTTCCGTGATAATGCATTGAAATTTGGCACATCTATCCCCCTCAGCCTATAAAAAAACGTTGAGTTGGCTGTATGCATTCCTGACAGACGTGCTTGCACTAAGCATTCCTGATTTTTGAATCTAGTCACTCATCAATCTAAACATTTTACGTTGTGAGCTTTGGAAGTTTAAAAAAATAATGATTGCATGTTTATTTATTTATTTTATTGTGCTTCTATATGTGTTTTCTACTTTTATTTATTGGGAGAAAAGATGGAATTCGTACTGTTTGGATTTTTTTTTAACTTACTTGCTTTACAACAACAAAAGTATGGTTGAATTTCTTTTATTTCATCAATGTAAGGGTCCAGGGTTCGAATCAGCAGCCCTGAATACTTACTTTTTTTTTCAAAATTCGCTTCTTTAACCATGATTTATGCTTAATATTTTCTAGATCCTATTCAAGGCAAATGGATTCTAATGTAGAAGAGGGTAAAGTGCCCGTCGAAGATGGAAGGCCTTCCTCTCACCTAAGACAACAGAATATTCTGGCTCAGGTAAAAAAAAAATTGTAAACTTATACCTACTCAAAATACTTTCATAAATTCCAACCTTTGAGTCTTTAAGTGAATTTACATTTTACTTGTAGGTTTCAGCCAGTTTTTCCAAATATATAATCATGCTTGATATAGGAATGGCCATTTGCTACTCGACAATAGCTATACCACCAATTCTAGACGCTGCAGAAGGCTTAAGTATCAATAAAAGCCAAGCATCTTGGTTTGGTAGGAACTGTCTTAAGATTGATACACAAATTTATCTGATATCTTATTTATATTTTTGTATTGATTATAGCAAGTCTTGTGTTTGTCTGGCAACCTGTGGGAAGTTTGGCGTCTGTACCGATGAGCGGTTTAGGTAGAAAGCGACTGATGTTTTATCTTCAAGTGCCCCTATTTATCGGATGGATCATGCCTTACTTTGCGACGACTGTCTGGGAGCTCTATCTTGCCAGTTCATTTTTAGGCCTTGGTAAAAAATTTTTATCTTGTATAATTTCGCAGCATGTTTATATTAATTCAATTTCCAGGTATCGGCTTTATGCAAGCACCCATAGCAACATACATAGGAGAAGTGACTCAGCCACAATATAGGGGCTGGCTGGCAAGCATCGCATACTGCTTTTTGACCCTGGGAAACGTTGCCATCTATGTTATTGATGTAATTGTTGGTAACTGGAGAATTTCAGCTTTGTACGGTGCTGCAATGCCACCATTAACAGCTTTAGTTCTCTACTTAGTATGTTTTTTATATTTATTTATGCTTCAGTCTACTTCTAACACCTATTTACTTGGCATAGTTATTTATAATAATTTATTGAGACTACAGGAATACAAATGTTAAATTATTTCATAATCTAATAATATTCTATAAGTATTAATTTAATTGGGATTCTCTATGAGGGTGATGAAACAGTAATTTGGTTGTTACCGATCATCCTGGTCTGTCTATCCTCAATGTCCTTTTCTGTCAGACCAGTTTAACCAGGATGACCAGTAAAAACCAAATTATTGTTTTAATTGGGAATTATCTCTTTGTGGTCTTATGGGGTGTTAAACAATTTTCATCATGTTGGATTAGGATAGGCAGATCAGGGCAATCATTAAATATCAAATTATTAGTTTAATTGTGAGATTTTTCTGTATGGTCTATGGGGATGATGAGCCTATAATTTAGTCGTCACTGATCATTCTGGTCGGCTTATCCTCACTTTATTGATCTTAAAGGTGGATTCCATAATTTCAGACAGGGCTAGGCTGACTAGGATGATCAGTAAAAACCAAATTATTAGTTTTTTCAATAATCAATCATTTTTAGGAGATTTCTCTGTGTGGTCTATGGCAGCATTGAGCCAGTACTTTGGTCATTACTGATCATGTTGGTCAGTCTATCCTCACTGTATTGTTCAGTCAGACCGGTTTCATCATTTGGGAGGAGGATAGGCAGACCAGGATCGGTAAAAACCAATTACTAGTTTAATTGCTAATATTGAAATAACAAAAAAGGCAATTTAAAATATCGTATTGTTTGTTTTGATATTTTAATAAACATCTTGATATTTTATTTCCATAGTTAGATCATTTGTTTTAGGTTGAGAGATTGAAGAATTGAGAAGAATAGAAAATAAATCAATAATACCAGTACAATAGTTTCCCTCTTGAACAAAAACAATATTAAGAAACTTTGTTTTTAGTTTGTTGAAAACGTGAATCAGACTTTTTGATAAACAAATTTTACTTAATTTGAATCTCAAGGAAGTGATTTTATGTCCTATGGTTTCAGTAGCAACCTAAGTTAACTGTTGTTTGAATATGGATTTCAACGTTGATATTAAAACTCCAACAACTACTAAAATTGGGTGTTTTACCACACACCAGAAAATCTGGCCCAAAGTGGTACATATAAATAATACCTAGTTAAGTAAATAAATAAATTTTGATTGTTTTTTCTAGATACCTGAATCACCGGTATGGCTTGTAAGCAAGAGGAGATACGACGATGCGAAAAAATCACTCAAATGGCTCCGCGGGTGGACAAGCGATGAAGAGGTCGAAGAAGAATTTCACACGATTCTGTACAACAACTGTAAACACTATGCTTCGTTTTTTGACTCCCAGAAGATCGACCCGAAATCCTTTCCAATTGCCAATATTCCAGAAGAGTACAGAAAGCACTGTCAGCAGACCACAGAAGAAATTGCTAATATTCAAAACGGCGAGCAGGTTCAAGTCATGGAAGAGGAGAAACCTTTTCTCAAATATTTGTTGGAACCAGAAATGTACAAGCCTATTATTCTCTCCCTTGTTTTCTTTTACATGTCCAATGGAATCTCGATCGCGGTCTTTCGTTCCTACTTGGTCTTGATTTTCAAAGAATTCAAAGTAGAAATGGATGAATATATTATTTTAGTAAGTTTTTAACTTTTAAAATAATACAACACTAAATGAAAAAAAATACTAATAATGATAAAATGATAAAAATAGGTTGGTGTCACTACGATTGGACTTGTGGCAAATATAGTCTGTGTCATAATAATGCCCTTAATTAAAAAGAGGCGTTTGACATTTTTGGCTGGAATCGCATGTACGCTTGGAGTATTCAGCCTCGGATTTTATGTACTGTTTGGTGAACACTTAAATCAAAAATGGATTCCGATTGCTATAATGGTAGAATTGTTCTTTGCAACCAACCTTGCCATTGGCCACCTCCCTTGGATTTTAATCAGTGAAATTTTCCCACTTAGGTAACTGCATACAATAAAAAAACGCAATTTTCTTACGATTTTATAAATAAATAAATATATACATTTATTTTTATGATTTTTCAGAGGACGATCATTTGCAAGTGGACTGGTCGCCGGTATTGCGAATTTCATGCAATTCCTTGGTACGAAACTCTTCTGGACTTACGTTAGCTGGATGACACTCGGTGGAACGTTTATTATGTACGGCTTTGTTTTTGTTATCGGTCTGACTTATTTGTACTTCTTCCAAGTCGAGACCGAAGGAAGATCCCTTGACGAAATTGTATGTGAGTTTAAATACGGAAAAAAATATCATTCCTCGATGAGAAGAGACCAAACTAAACTCAGGTGAAAATTAAGAAAAAAAAATGCATTTCTTATACCTGACAGTATTTGCAAATTTGTATATTTTCTACTACTTGTATATTTTTGTAAATAACGTATTTTTGTAATTAAGAGATTTTCTGTTTCCCTATATTTGCGTTATTTTTCAATGCCCTATCATGCATAGTTTATTTGTAATCATGAAATTTTTTATATTCAAATCGTCAATGGTAACCAAACAGATAATGATTAAAAGAATGGTTGAAGAATGGTATCTATTAATTTTATACCATCTTTTTTACGCCATCCATTTTCAGAAAATCACTGGTGTATGACAAGTAAAGTATTGGACCTAGGATGCTCCCTTGGGGCACTCATGAATTTATTTTAGTTAGTTCTGAATACTGGCCTTCTTTTTTATTCTAAAATGTCTCAATTAGGTAGAAAATGATAATATTTACTTACTGTCTTGGTGGCATTCCTCCTCGGTTTACTGGTAAGTCCTTTGTGCCAAATCTTGTCAAAAGCCTGCGAAACATCAAGGGAGATAAGAGAACAAATAAATTAAGACTGATTTTACAAACAACTTACCTTATCATCCACCACAGATCATTCATCATTCATCTGTGCAAAGGGAATTTTTGGCTGCCTCTGAGAATGAAAAATGTTAAACTCAGTATCATCACCCATAAAATAAATTTTTCCATAAAAGAACACAGGTTTTACTTTTCAAATCAGAATATCTACTCTATTCACATACACATATGTATATACAGACAAAAATAAAATTTAAAAAACCTGTTGATCATTGATGGTCTACAGAGTACAGACTCTAGTGTCTAGTGTCTACAGGACTGACTTAATCATTCAATGTCAATGACTACATCGATCTTGTAAAATTTGTCTACTCAAGTGTTTACAACGGACGTTCAATGTGAATGATTATAGAGATCGTGTTAAATTTAAATCAGAATTGTTCTAAAGTTAATAAATTTTTTTTTTAATCATGTTTTTTTTTACAAGAGTATTTCAACTAAGAGGTTATATGAACCCTGGGGCTAGGGGTGCCGGTGTTTTTTAAAAAAGAGCCCATTTGTAAGTCGAGTTCGAATGCAGGACCGCTGGATTCGAACCCGGGACCTTTACATTACAGCGATGTATTGTACTATCATATATTACTATGTAATCAATAATGTACTAATGTACCTTTTCCTGACTTGCTTTTGGTTCAATCCAAGTAGGAATCTCGGTTACGTCCGTTCATGCACGAGAACGGCCGACCGCCACTATCAATTCCTTACTGGATACGCTGTTATCGTTATCAGTTCGATAGCTCCAGGAGTCCAGGTTGCTTTTCAAAATAAATTCTTAATGGTGATCCGTTCGTCGGATATACTCGTATCTGTGTCGGAAGTTTAATTATTCGAAAGCTATAAGCAGGAATTGTCTGTAAGAGGCAATCCCAGCAGGAATATCAGTCATGTCAGTCAGCAGGATCCTTAGCAACATGAGCGTCGAGACTTTTGCCTCTTTGGGGCACTGTGCAACCATTGGAAAGGTAAGAGAAATAAGCATTTGGACGGTTTTCTTCTGCTGATTCAGAAGAGAAACACGTATTTTCTTCTACGTGTACTACTATAAATTCAACAACCTTAATCAGACACATGAAAAAAAAAAAAAAGTAAACCGCTCAAAAATGAATAAGGATTTGTAATTTATCCTTATTCTATTAATTTTAATTAAAATAACCATTATATTCTTGCTAGTTGGATAAAACAAAATAGAAAATACAAACCTTATTAATTAATCCTCATTTTTAATAACAGATTTATTTAAGATTAGTAAACACGAAGATTACTCATCTTATAAAACAAAATGGAAATACATCATCTTGAACCAAAGGTTCACAATATTATTGTAAAGCCTAGTACGCACTGAGATTCTTTGAATCGATTCATGTTGCGGGGCAGAGTTGGGGCTGCGTAGATTCATTGTTGCGATGTAGTCCTGACTCTGCTCCGCGACAATGAACCGTGTCCAGACCAAGATTCATTTCACATTCATCAGTGCCTGCGAAAATGACGGAGGAACTAGCTCTCAGGAATTTCCCCTGCTCTGTTTTTTTTTGTATTGTACGTAGTGCATCCAATTGGAAGTGCCACAAACACCGATGGGAATGTATGTCTTCAACAAACTACAAAATCAACCCGGTACTCCACAACATACCTTTAATACAAGACAGTATCAAAATCTTCAAGAAAACACCCACTAGAACGTCAACTAAACAAATGAAGTAAGAGCACTTGTTCCGATTCACGTCCGCACTGGCAAATGTTGTGCAACTTTGAGTCAAAGAATCCCACATTGGATGGGATTCCAAAGAGTCCGAAAATGCTAGCCCGCAACACACCAAATTCATTGCAACAATGAGTCGGGGCAGCCCGGACTCAGGCTAAATGCAGCCGAGACTCTCTGGAGATTCAAAGAGTCAACTCAAAGAATCCCAGTGCGTACTAGGCCTAAGAATGAGTCATTGAGGTCACCGGCAAGTGGATAGCACAGAGGCAGTTGGCGTTTCTCAGAGCCTGGTCTCCCGGGAGACTTTTTAGGGAGACTGGAAGTGTCAATAGAAGGCTGGGTGATGGGTCTCAGTGCATTACAACGCTAAGGGAGAAAAGAAATGTTGTCATTGCTGCAAGATGGAACCCTTTCCATAGTTGATCCTAAATGAAGCACAAGATGTTTTAGCAAGGAATTTATAAGTTGGCCTCACATCAGATGCCACTTTGAGATGACTTGCAGCAACAGCCCGCCACCAGCAACTCAGGAGAATGTAGTGCAACGAGCACCTGGAATAGAACACCAATTGGAATGCTGTTATGTTTAATGAAGTCGCATTTCTGTCTGTACAGTAATAGCAGGCGCTGAAGAGTCTATCGAGGACAGGGGTGCGTACAATACCCCAGTTCGTGATCCCTTCAGTGCAGTTTGGAAGAAGCGGCATAATGATCTGGACTGGGATTTACACTGGAGGATGAACTGGACTCCATATTGTCGAAGGCAACCTCACTCCAGTTCGTTTTGCCCATGAAATTATCGAAGAATACATCCCTCAAACCAGGGATCTCATTGGCAGGGATTTCGATTCCTAGATGACAATGCCAGAGCTCATAGAGGCAGAGTTGTTCATCAGTATTAGAAAGCCTGAGAATTTCCCATCTGCCCCTTCCCCGATTGTCTCCAACCTCAATCCCATTGAGCAAATGTGGGATGCATTGCCGAGAAGGCTTTTCAATTCAGTATGTGCAACAACTGAATGCAGCATTGCAATGTATAAGGAGTGAAATTCTTAATGAAATTATTAACAGCCTTATGCCAAACAGGTGCACAGAGGTTTTATCTAACAGAGGACATTACGCACAATATTAATTGTTTAAAAAACAATTATTGTGTCCAATAAATAAAATTATGGAATTAAAACCTTTTATTTTGTTATTTTTCAAAATTCCCTAATTAAAGCTTCAGGAAAAACATAATCATTTCTAACAAATTTTAATGCAATTTATAATAAAATACTAGGGAAAGTAAATACTACAAAATTGGCAATATCCCTATTTATTTTTGAGCAGTTTATAATACTTAAAATGGCAAACTTTACAGTATGACACAGTCCCAGTACTGAAGATAGCGAGAAGACGAAACACAACAAACAAAAATAGTGAGGATAGTCAGATAAAAATGATCAAAAACGACAAAACTATAGGTTAATCACCCCAAAAAATAAAGCCCGTATGTCTTGTTGATGTACAGTGGAGGACAAGACTGTTTTTTTTTTTTTTAATATGAACTTACATTTACTTGTCAGCCTCACATGGTCTATTCTTAACCAGGTGAGGATGATCCTTCTTCTACAAGTCATGTCCTCCAACCTCCCATCAACAGCTCTTATTATGTGAGAGCTTGATTGGCCCATTGGTGCTGTCACCTTCTTTTAATCATGTTTTTTATTGCATTGTTACCGTCTGATGACCAGATCGCGGTGGTTAAGTTTGGAGGTTGGGATATCACCTTGTCCGTCTAATCATTACCCTACAAACCTATGTGTCCAGGTACCTATACAGCAGCCACCATTTTGCCGTGAAGCTTCAGTTCATGATATCTCTTGAACAAAGGCACTACGAGAGGTTTGACAGAAAACCTGTTTCGGACCACAGTAACTGCACTGAGGGAGTTGGTGCTGACTAGGTAGGCAGAGCCACCATCATCTCGAATCACCCCCAACCACGTGCCAAACTTCTGCCATGTAAACGCTATAGTGCAGAGGGAGCTACCACGAAGTGTACTTACCCTCATGATACATGGCACACGTACATGTTGTAGACACCTTCATCAGTCTTAGAACTTTCTGTAAAGATGAGCCAAAAACCAGCGTAAATTGATCTAAGCGCCATAAACGCATGGTGGAGTTGACAATTTGGTTAAGACGGCGTGATCTTCCCTACTATCGCCAGGAGGTCCCAGGGGAAAGTCGGCCAGTTGCCCAGCCCGAGTACCGTTCCAAGTGTCATCTTCGCCGAAGCATATTCCCAAGGGTCGTGCCCAAGTCTGATGTTGCTTGTATATTCCTACTTTACTGGCATGTAAGGATTGCACCCGAAAGCGGATGTCCCGGTTTGACAAGGAACATCGCAGTAGTAGCTGCTCCCACTGAAATTTGGGCGGCAATTGACAATTGACAGGAAGACCCTGACTAAAGAATAAATCTTTTTAATTTTTTTTTTTTAATTTTGAAACTTTATGTCCCTTGTGGGGTTTTTTCACATGGTGTATTGCCATGTTTATCAATTCAGTTTATTTTTTTTTTTAATTCATTTAATTTTTGTAATTAAATTATTAGATTAATTAATAATATTATTTAAACAATGATATTGGAATAATAGTAAAATAACAATATTTTTTAAAATTTTAAATAATAAATTTTCTTTACAGCTATGGCACAAAAGATTCTCAAATGTTATAAAATATTTACAAAAAAGAGAGAAAAAAAGGCTTATCCTTAAAACAACATAATAAAGATAATTTTTAATCTCTTTAGCGTCCTACCCCTCCTAGATGACTTCTCAGATTAAATCATATAAACAATTTTGATCATTATATTTACAAAAAAAAATTTGTTTAGTAATTTATGTAAAATTTGACAAATGTGAAAAATGCCTCTTTAATTTTATTACAGTCATAGCAGTGCTTAATTCCCCTGCATTGTGGTATCATTCCAAATCTGTCCCCTTTAATTAATTCTTTCAAATCAGTCAAAATGGCTGGCTTAATAAACAGCAAATAAATTGAACACTTTTTCAACTAGTTGTGTGAAGATAGATGACCTAATCCCTCTATTTATTATTTATGATATCATGCAGAAGCAATGATTATAGCAGAAGAAAAGCATAAAAAGCAATACATGACCTTTTGTAGGATCCTCTCCACATATCTTAAGGCATATTGAATTTGTACCATGCAGTGTATGGTACTATAACTGTACCCTTCTCCAGATCGTGAATAGGACTTTTTTCCATTCCTCTACAGTCCATGATTGATGTTCCTTTGCAAATCTTAGTATGATGTTATATGTTGAGAAGGAGGCCTTTCACTTTTCTTCTTGATCCAAGGGTTTGACTCTCTAAGGCCTCTTTAATACAAAGTGGTTAGTTGAACAAATAAGTGTCAAGGAGTGTAGCCTTGTAGCAATGATTGGGAACCACCCAAACCCAGTCACACACAATCATCTCAGACGCCCAGGTGATTGGCCAGCAGGCACAAATGTTGCTCACATTCTCTACCGGTATACTCAACACAAAAAATAAAACTTGATATTTGTCCTATTCACCAGTGCCATAAAAAGCATTGCAAATGCAAATTTCAATGTAGAACAGATCTACAAAAAAAATTCATATTAGTCCTGCTATGTAGGGCTTGAAACATGAGGAATGCAATGAAAAAATTAAAAATAGTGAAGCTTGGAGGGAAGTGGCAAGGCAGTGTTGAAAAAGCATTAGTTTCTTGATTTTGTAGCAATGAAGAACCCACACGCTCCTGCTTGGGTTCTAACAACATACTGAACTCATGTTAGGAAGAGAACTTGATTCCACAAGTTGCCTGGAGTTAAACCAGAGTTAACTAATTTATCAACAGAATTAACCAAACTACCTAGTCAAAATAATCCTAAGTCTTCTTCTAATAGTTGACTGAGATTAATATTCCGTGAATCCCAGCGGTCAAGTTTTTAATGCCAAAAGTTGATGAATTGCTGTGTGGATTGCTTGCATATTAATAAAATGGGATTAGTGATTCTGGGATGCCCTGAATTTGGTCGCCTCGAATGTTTCCCAGTCTCCCTGTACTTTTCATAGTCGTGAAATGGACAAATAATATATGCCAAGATGATTTAGCTTAATGATTTCCCTTCTTTATTGAGCCCCATGATTCTGAGAGATACGTCACGGCTTAAATGACCCAATATGGCTCAAAAAAATTAACAGAATAAATAGAATAGGATTAACAGAAAAGCAGAGAGCAATTGCTACCAAGGGCTAACAAAAGGTAAAAACCAACTGAAAGTAAACCATGATTAATAATGATTTCTTTAATCTATCTCTTTAACAAATAATATTTCTATAAATTTAAACAAAATATGGGCTAAAGTCAAAAACTAAAAAAAAGTCTAGATTTATAGGTGCTGGGATATTTTAATTAAAAATACTACAGGATAATTACTTAAATTACCTTAAAATAATTACTTTCATGGAAAAATAATTTGATACTCATTATCGATCATACTGCCATTCCTATCCACACTATGTTAACCTGTCAGACATGTTTCATGTCAACTTCAGTGTTGGATCTATGACATGACTTTTACAAATTGTCAGCTTTTTACAAAATTATAAAAGGGTCCTGGCTAAAAAAGCATCATCCTTGTCCAAAATTGTAAGAATTTTTTGGCTTAAACTCGATTATCTGCTAAATATAGGCTTAAGTTGAAAAGTTCCAGGTTATTGTGTTCGTATCCAGTTCTTTAGTGCATTCTTTACATCATTCCGTACATTTACTTAGCAATCACCATTTTTAATATTTTTCTTTCCGAAAGGTAGATTGGGGACTGTGAAGGCTTGATCAGTATTATCATATCAAGCAAATATTATTCACCGTTTTTCCTTCTGTCGAACTATCAAGAACTTGGGAATGTCCTATCTCCTAGATGTCCCAATGCTGTTTTTCCACCTTCTATCATTTTCATTGTGTTGGTCACCTTCTCCTGTTTAGTACGCATAAATTCCTAGTTCCTTCCCTTATTCTCCCCTAGTTTGATTATGGAGTGCACAAGAGACTGACTGGGAAACTTGGAGATAAACGTCTAATGACTTGTTTTGTATGTTTTTTCTTGGCTGATCAGTACACCAGCTTGAAGTGATCGTTGTACTGCAAGCAGTACTTCTTTGTCTTTTTCCTCTAAAGAACTACATTATCCTATGCCAAACTTGCTCCCACTCTTCTGTTACTGCGTTCAGTCATTCCTTCTTCATCCTAACAATCCAACTCCAAACAATCAAATTCCCTTCATCGCTATCTGCCAAGCCCCATCGTTTTCTGCCTTTAAATCCCGTTACTTAATTACCTATTATCCTTACCACTTGGCACTGAAGTTTTTTAATTATACCTTTAAATTAATTAACATAGTAGGCCATTTTCACATTATATGAAGATGCTTTTTTGTAAATGCACAGCTTGTATAGCTTTGTCAGGTTCGAATCTTTGTGAAATATGTTGTATGCATATTTAATTATTCAAGGAAACTTTAAGTCCTAGAATAAAGTTCACTTTTCATTTCAATTCATTTAAAATGCTGATAGGCATCTGACTGGCCAACACAGTGAATATACACAGACCAGTATGATTGGTAACAAGCAAATTATCGATTCATCACCCAGCAGGTGACACAGAACAATCTAACGATATTGAAACTTGGCCCATTAATCTTTCATCATTATTAATTATCATTATCCTTCTATATACAGCAATGGCTAGAAGAATATAATAAAACAAGAGAAGGGCCGACAAAAAATAGCATTGAAATGTATTTCAACAATATTACATCTAAAAAGGAAACACTTAGCACACTGAAAAAGCAAGTATCCATTTTAATTTAATTTAATTTTGTTAAAAGCAAAAACCCCATAGTCCTAATCGTTTGATTTTAGAATTTTAGAAATGGTGACAAAAAATAAAGACCTTTTAATGGGAGTCTTGTCAGAGACCCTTTACACATATTATGATGCAAAAGCAACTGTCGATTCATTTATTGATGAACTGAAATATTATAGTTACAACTTTGAAACGCTTTACTGCGACATAGAATGTGTTCCTTTTCAATTGGGTAATGGCCTTGAGAAACAATCTAATATATTTATTTTGGTATTATGTTAGGTGTGTACAGCATATATATCTATTTTTTTTAGACTTTACTGTGAGACAACAAGAACTTCCAATACTTGGAAGGGTATTTTGCCCTGCAGTTTTGTCAAACAGTGTCTTACGATTACAAATAACAGATGAAGAATGCCTTCCTTATTTAATAGTGCTGAAACGAATAATTGATGATTCAGAGTAAATATTAAAACAAAAACCGTATTTTTTGTGTACATTTTAATAAATATTATTTATTGCTTTTTAGTTGTTTCCAACAAATTGGCAAAAAGCATGGACAGAGAGGTAATTTTTCATTTTATTTACAACTTGTTACGATGTAAATATTTTTATTATTTAGATGTGGCATTTATTGAGGATTTCTCCGCTCAACATTATTGCCCGATGCTTATATTTGATGATGCGGATTTGGATTCAGCAGTAAACGCGTTAGTTTCCGCCTCTTGGAGCTATCAGGGCGCAGTAATAACCAGAAAATTAAAGTTGTGCCAAAATTTGCCTTATAAAAAAATAAATTTGATCTTTAGGCTTTGTGGTCTTTGACTCATGTGTACATTCAAGAAGCTTTGTACAACGAAGCCATTGCAAAAATTAAGTCCCTTACTTCTCGATTTTGGAAGTCGAATTCATTTTATTTTCGCCACTATGAAAACTGCATTTCTACCGTTAATAACGAAAAAGTTGGGGATTTAGAGGTAAAAATAAAATCCATGCAAAAGATAAAACAAAATCGTATTAAATATTTGAATGTAGATTTTCCAACCGAGCTTGAATTTACCCCATCGTTTTTTCATCGGGTGGGATCCCAGGGACTTCACGGCAAAAGTACAGTATAACATGTTTAAATTAGGCTTAGCCATTTTACCATTCAGAACCGACAATGAAGGTGTTGCTTTAGTCAACAAATCACTTTACGCAGTAGCAGCCTCAATTTGGACAGAAAGAATTGGGCGAGCAAATTCCATTTCAAAAAAACTCGATGTAAGTAAATACATGTAAATTAATTTTTATTTATTTATAGTTTTCTATTATATAGATGGGGACTGTATGGATCAACTGTCATGGTATTATAAAACCTGAAATACCGTTTGATTCAAGGAAACAAAGTAAAATCCCTTTCAATGGACTTAAACGTAAGTAATGTTTTCACTTTGACTTATTGTATCTGTATATTAAAAATTGTCAAATTTTAGTGCTTCAGCTTTTGCAAATACCGAAAAATGGTTTATCTTTGCCTAGAGGAAATTTTACAATGAATTCAAATAATCTCAACTTGGTTTGGTTAGTAAATATACTCTAGTGTGATAAGTTGTATTAACAGGTTTGGTGCAGGTTTGTATAGTCGTGGTCACATCATGCAGAACAAAATAGATCATTTTAACCATTTTGATTGGCACAACTATCCTTAATTTAGAAGTCAATTTAGTTCACTGTCCTCAGCTCAAGAGTTACTGACACTGTTGCCCTTGGTTTAACTTTCCTAAGATTAGAAGTCTTTGGCTTCTTTATTTTACTGTTGACAACTTGGCACTTACTGGCAATGTTGCTCTCAGCTTAATTATCCTTAGCTTTGTAGTACTGTCCTCAGCCCCATACTCATTAGAACTATTCTGTTCTCAGTTTCGCTGGCCTCGACTTAACACAGGACCACTGCCTTGGCATAATTGTCCTCAGCTTAACAGTATCTGGACCATTTTTTTGGCTCAACTTTCTTCAGATCAGTACACATTGTCACTGCTACCTTCAGCTCAAAAAGAATTAATGCTATTGTTTTTTGCTCAATTGCCCTCAGCTCACTAGTCATTATCACTATGGTCCTCCCAGTTTAACTGTCTTTAGCTCAGCATCACTGACACTACTGCCTTGTGCTCAATGGCATTGGCACAACTGTCCTTGCCCCTTGGCTCAACTCTCCTCAGTTCAATAGTCATTACCACCACTGTCCTCAGCTGAAAAGGCATTGGATACAACTGCCCTTGGCTGTACTGTGTTCTCAGTTCAACTTTCTTTATTTTTTATTTTTGGTTTTTTTCTAATACCAAATTCCTAGTATTCTCTGCCCTTTCAACTAACTTGAGTAATGCATAAACGTCCTCAAGTTTATGATCTTGATGGTCATTTACCAACTAGATGATAGCTACTTAGTACCATTACCTGCAGTTTTTAATGAAAAAAGCTTGCAAGTTCTCCAATTTGTAAATTTGTAGAACATTTCCTTTAAGAAAAGTGAGTCAAGATCTGGGAGTAGAGTTGGTCAAATAGAAGCTTGGTTTGATTAAGATGTACTCTTTACATATTGTGCAGTATGCAACCAAGTTGTCTTGTTGAAAAAATATTCTATCTTTCAAATCTAGGTCTAGCCGAAACCTTTATCTTTAAAAATTAGTAAAAATGTTATTTCAGAGTAATAATTAAAGACTAAAAGACAAAAATAAGTTTGCATATCTGCCTAGCCAAGCAGTCAGATTACCACGCCATCCTGCAGCAAATCATGTTAATACTTTTCAATAAATATCGATATGTTCACAGCAATTTGTCCCTCTTTTAGTGTATCAATGAATGATGCTCTTAATTCAGCCCTTCAAGCAAGTTCAATTCTTAAAAGTGTTGATAACAATTCTCTATGGGAATCACTAGATATCCTAATATCAAAAAAGTATTGCAAATTTATTTTAACTCATTTACTGATTTTTAGTTTTTAACCTTTATTAATTTATATTCCAGTAAGCAGATTTATGAAAGTAACAATTTAACAAAATACAAATTTATGATAGAAAATTCAGTGAAAAGTTTTGAAGATTTGAAAGTTGACACGGTGTGCTGGAAGGAGGCGAACAAAGTACTGGTGTTTGAGGTGACATCAGTCACTGCAGAATCAATGACATACATTTCATGGTTCGTGTATGCATCGATCGGCCTCAGGAATGCAGTCATAATTGTCGCTTCGACTGTAGGTATCAACAAGCTAATAACATACGACTGCTTCAAATTCACCTCGCTTCCTAAGGGTTGTATAAGCTTCATTTCGAAAAATACGTACAAACCGAGGGATTTGATCGAGAATAGTGTGATTCAGAAGCAGATCATCATGTCAGAGTATGACGTAGAAGATGTAAGCCTGAATCATATGGGGTATCTAACGAAAATACCAAAAAGTTCCGTTATGCTTCTACCCATGATGGAAGTTTTCTTGGTTGGAGTCAAAGCCATCTGGTGGCCAAACTAATATTTTTATTTTTACGGAAGACCTAAAGAACAAGACTGGTAACAATGTTTTTATTTTTATTTTTTATTTTAATCAAATCGTTAATTAAACTGATTTTGATTTTTTTAAACAAAGTCTTTCCATTATTTAAGACTGTATTTTTACATTACTACAATACTTCAAAGTGCCATGTTATATATAAATTCCCTTCTAATTTACAAAAATAGTCTTCAAACTATACTAAATAACCATTTGGCTCTTTTCTTTCCCCTTAGTAACATATCATTTAAAAAATAACTTTTACCTATTCTAGTTTGTCTTTCTGATTTTTCTGTTGCAAAATTCCAATGACAACTGACCAAATAACCCACAGATTAACTAGGATGATCGAAAACAATCAAACTAAATAACTTTATGTATAATTGTAGTATGTAATGTTAAGAAAAACGTTGTTATTAAAGTTGACCAATTTATATTTATGTTTACTTTTTTGTACATAAATTTTGATAAAGAGGTCTATATTCTTTTTTTTCTTTTGTAATTACAGTAGTTTTTGCTGTAAATTTTAAGCTATTTTTGTTGTGTTAGACACTCCCAGACCAATAATTATTAGTTATTCTTTAATTTTTCATATATATTACATTATCATTTTTCTTATGACGTTCATGTTTGTGTCAAACTACAGGAATCTGTCATGCTGATAATCGAAATAATTGGAACAATATCATTTATGAACAATAAATTGTTAAGCATTTAAATGTTTTATTTTATGCTACCTATATCTGATCAATTGTGAGAGTTGTCAAGTTGCCTGCGGGTGATGAACATGGAATTTAGTCGATACTAAACATCTTGGTATAGCTGTCCTCACTGATGCTTCAGACTGGCTTCATCATTTTCCCATCTTCAGTATGTCTGTGTAAACATGTGTCATTGTCATGTATCAGGTGCTATTTAAGAAGAAAGAACCTTTTGATATGTTCATAATCGACTATTTGTCCCACCAAAGATGGTGACCCTTAAAAATATCATTTTGTTCTTTCTACATCTATAGTTTGGTCATTTCCTCCGATCATTTTGACCTGCCTATTCTTTCAGTTTTGGAGTCAAATGCATTTCAGCTTATGACACTAAAACAAATCAAAACAAAAATGACCAAACTTAATGTTCATCCTGCAGAACCCAAGTGGAAAAACTAATACTTCCAATGTCTTTTAAGTAAAATATATTTAATAATCATTTATTTCTTCCTCCAAAGATTGTCATTTCCATTGATCATGTTGGCCTGCATATCCTTTCTTTTTTTGGTCAGTCAGATGCATATCGGCTTCTGACACCAAAACAGAAAGGGTAGATGCTCAATGAATGCAAATTACCAAACTTCAGGTTCACCTTGTATAATGCAAGATGAAGTACCCATACTTCCTGTCTGCTAACAAAAGAAAATTGATGTTTGAGTATTTTCCTAATCAATCATCTCTTCCACCAAAAATGCAACTTTTTCATATTGTATTTTTTATACTTGTAGTTTGGTCGTTTGCTCTGATCTTTTTGGCCTACCTATCTTTTTTTTTCCTGATGCCAAACAGAAACAATGGTTAGATGCTAAATGACCAAACTTTTCTTTTATCCACAGAACTGAAGAAATGCTGTGCTACCTAAAGACAGACCATTGAGTAATTTCGTAATCAATTATTTGTTCCACCAAAGAGCATTGGTGCATTTTATTTTTTCTTTCTGCGTCTTCAAGTTAAAAAAAAAGAAAGATTTTCGGTTATTTTTATAAATATCTGTGCCAGTAGTAAAAAGAGTATGGTGCCCCAATGACAACTTTTGCGGCCCTTCCGAAATTAAAAATTTTCTCTCCTCATAGGGTGAATTTATTTAAATTAAATTAGTTATTTTAATCTTAACTGAAAGTATTTCGCCGTAAACAAACAAGTAAATAAAAACAAAATTATATCATTTATCCGTGTTTTGAGCCGGATCAGGTTATCGTGTGGTAAGACTGCCTCCTGGGAACTCTTGCCTCTTCTCCATTTTCTGAAATCAGGGGGCCCGATATTTGTATTGTTGTGGTACCGAACAGTCATTCGCTTTCAACTAAATCAGACGTTCACTTATAAATAAATTAAGGTAAGTGTTTCAAATGGATTTAAAATTTCATTAGTTTATTATCTATTCGACGAGAAAATGGCTTTTTTCCCCACCTACGCTTTGACTTAAAAGTCAGGCACGGAAATGGATTAATGCCCTTGAGACTTTGTATCTTTACTTTCAACCGTTCACTTTTATTTTTTGATCGAAATTATTAAAAGCTCATGCTTTTTCCTGTTTTAAATCTTTTGACCGGGCCTTATTATAGTAACGAAAAACCCTATTTCTGGGCGCTTTTCTTTTTTTTTTCGAACGGCTTTTCAAGCCCTGAACAGGTCCAACCACTCGACATTGTTTCCTACATTATTTTTAGATTTGCGTTTCCCGAATAAACCTTCCTCAAATCGTTGAATTTATCCTTTACAAATCGAATTAAATATTAACCAGAACGGCCATCAGGTAAGACTGTTCAACCAAAACCATTTTAAAATGGTCAATCTTTAAAAATAATAATCGTCTTGTTGTTCTTGAACATTAGAATTTCTGTTATGTAGTACAGTTTACACATCATGCTGTGACATAGAAATCAACATTACCATTATGTTATAATTTGTAAATCGTAAATCAATTGAGCGTTTCCAATTTGTGATTTAATCTATGGTCCAACATTTTCATTCTGCAATTAGATCATGTTTGATCTTTTTGGTCTGCCTAACGTCGCTGTTTTGGTCTGTCAAACGTGTTTCACCTTCTGCACAGACCGAGATATAAGTGGAAACACGTCTAGAAGGCCAAAGCAGAACCAGGCAAACCAAAAGACCAAACATAGGTTCACAACAGCTGTGTGATGCATTAAAGTTGTTTTATTAGAACAAGTTGTTCCTTATGTGCCACCACTATTTGGTGACGGTTTTATTTTTATGCGTGATAATTCAACGGTCTTTCATTTCCATGCATAAAAATGCACAGCTGTAACGGAACCCTCAAATATCAAGTTTGTGTGACCTTCAAAGAAATGCCTGCCCAAACCATAGCACCACCATCTCCATAGCTTTTCCGGAGTGAAAATGTTGTGGGGAATATATCGCTCTCCTGTCCTTCTCTCAGCCCTTAGAAGACCTCAAACAAAACCTTCTCTTATCCAAAAACAAGATTTTAATCCACTTTTGCTCGTTCCAATTGCTATGATTTGTGAACCAAGCTGTTCTGGGCTTGGTAAGGCCTTCTTGCAAGTAATCTGATGACAGATCAATTTTCTTTTTTAGTAAATGATATCTTTGAGCGTGATAATTAATTTTTGTAAAAGTGTAAAATGGGTTCAGAAGTTGTCAGTTTTTTAAATTTATTTTTTATTTTTAAATTATTTAAATGTAAATTATTATTTCTAGATGCCAAACATTAAACTTCAAAGTTCAGACGGTGAGGTCTTTGATGTCGATGTGGAAATTGCAAAATGCTCCGTCACCATCAAAACCATGTTGGAAGACTTAGGTAAGTTGGAGTTTCGAGTCAAAGGAGACAGGGAAAGGTAGAGTGCATTTATGCCGTTTTTCAGGAATGGACGAAGACGAAGAGGAGGTGGTCCCTCTACCAAATGTAAATTCAGCGATTCTCAAAAAAGTCATACAGTGGGCCACATACCACAAAGACGACCCACCACCCCCTGAAGACGATGAGAACAAGGAGAAGAGAACAGACGATATCTCCTCATGGGATGCTGATTTCCTCAAAGTGGACCAGGGAACTCTTTTCGAACTAATCCTTGTAATATTCAAATTGGCCTGACATAATAATTTTGGAAATTAATTAATTTTTGACAAAAAAAATCTCAATTGTTTTAGGCTGCAAACTACCTCGATATTAAGGGCCTTTTGGATGTAACATGCAAAACAGTTGCAAATATGATTAAAGGCAAAACTCCTGAAGAGATTCGCAAGACTTTCAACATCAAAAATGATTTCTCAGCTGCTGAAGAAGAGCAAGTTCGAAAAGAGAACGAGTGGTGTGAGGAGAAATAATTGTTGAATGTTACTTATCAATATTAAAATATAAAATAATATAAAAAGACACAATAATTAAGTAATTATTTTTCTTCTTCTATGCATTTTGTCCATACGCTTGTTTTTTGTTTGTTTTTTTAAACTCTCTGAACTATAATAATAGTTAGGGAATAATATTTTGTTACATTAACTTAAATTTGTTACTAGTGTTGTAAAATAACCCGAATATCAATTGTATTTCAAAACGGTACTGTACTTCATTTCTTTAGGTTAATAATATTCATCTATTCTACGTAAGTTAAAAGTTATAAAGTTTGTATAGACATGTAAATGTTTCTTTCACCATCATTATTTCTCATTAGCAATAATTTATTTATCTTACAAAATAAAATTTAAAAAAATCATCTCTGAATAATTTCTTAACACCAGAAAAATAAAATTTTAAGACATTCAAACTTTCTTTATGATTATTAGGTATCTTATTACCATTATTTCTTTTTATGAGAAACAAACCACTCATCTACAGATGACAGGTTGTATTTCAATTTGTGATTGTGACATTACGGCGTCATAGAGACAGGTACCCAATGGCAACCTCTGGATTAATTATGTGATATTAATCATCTCTTATCCATATTCTTGTTAGTCACTCACATGATAATTGTGTAGAATGGGGTAATTGTATTTATGGGTTAGTGATCTTGTAATTTTCTGTGAAAATGTCTGAAATTGAAATGTTGGAATATTTAGCTGATCCATAACCTTGGTACTCATACATCCAAATAGGTTTAAGTAGGCATGTGTACGTGGAAAGTTTTGATTGTAATGGTAATTTTGATTGTTAGTTGAGAAGGTAATAAAGCGTTTTAAATCATTTGTTAAGAGTCAATTTTTAAATCATGCGTGGATTTGTCTCAAATGTGAGATCTATAACTTTGTCGGATTGACGAATAGGTTCATTGTTTAAGTATAAACTAGAACAAAACTCACAGCAGAGTGTAAAGGTGATATGTTGTGACTATGAGGGGTAAAATTTTATTTTCCAAAGATTGCTCCATTTTTCAATTGTTGATATGTGGTTTCGTAACGTAAGTGAAGCTTGGGTAGAGGAGGGATTTTTTAATATAGCGATGTCATCTGTGTACATGGCGGTAAGTGCATTCTCATTTGTGGGCATGTCAGAAGTAAAAATTGTACAAGTAATTGTAAAAGTACAACAGAGGAGTGAGTATTGACCCCTGTGGCATACCTGCAAGCACTATTTTCATCTCAAAAGTCTCCAATTCCTGGTTTACTACCAAAAATCCTTAAGGTACAATTGTATAATCACATAATAGGTCTGGGGTAAAAAAAATATATAAATTTATATATATAATATAATTTTTTGGGATTAGGAAGATACATTTTTTTGAAAATTTAGAAACGTATACATTTGAAAAACAAAAATTTTATCTCTTTTTCATGTTTTTCAATTGTGCTCCCATTATGTCTGTAGATGTGGGACATTTTTTTAATGCTTAGAAAAATATTTTAGCATCAGATTGGCGTAATTTTACTTAAAAGCATTTAAAAATATAAATAATCTTGAAAATTAGATTTATTTTATCTCTTTCTTAAATTTGTCAAATAACTGATATAATTACATTTCTTCATCATTTTTAAAAAAATGTTTTCATTTTATAGATTTAGTTTTGCACTAGAAAGATTATTTCTCAAAAATTTAGAAATCTGTTATTTAAAGTAAATTTAAAAATTAAAATTTTGCTTCATGTCTTTTTCACGTTTTTCAATTGTGGTCCCTATTATGTCTGTAGACGTGGAATTAATATTCTTTTAGTACGTAGAAAAATATATTTGCACCAGATTGGTGTAACTTGATTTTCAAAAATTAAATAATTTTGAAAATTGGTTTTAATTTTTATTTTATCTGTTTTACATTTTTCAAATATCTAATATAATTATAGTTGCATAATTTCTTAATCATTAAAAAAAAAGTTTTGTATTTTATAGAATTTTTTGGCACTAGATAATTTTTTTTTAAATTAAGAAATATATTATTTGAAATACATTTGAAAATTAAAATGTTACTTTACCTTTTTTTCATGTTTTTCAATTTGGCCCCCATTATGTCTGTAGATGTGAGATTTTCTTATATTTTTTATATTTTAGCACCAGATTGGTGTAATTTTACTTTAAACATTTAAAAATGTAAATGATTTAGAATAATTTTGAAAATTGGTTTTAAATTTTTATTTTATCTCTGTTTTTTATTTTTCAAATGTCTAATATACTTATATTTGCATAACTTTTGAATCGTTTTGTAAAAAGTGCGTTTTTATTTTATAGATTTTTGTTCACTAGAAAGATACATTATTATTTTTCAATAATTTAGATTTTTTTTTTTGACCGGGGCTTCCGACATCTAGGTCATTTCAGCTCTAAACTACGTCTATGTTCTATTTACCCTTTCAAACACTACATTCACATATAAATACATCCGTACAGTACACTCATTCTGTTTGGTCGGTGGAGTACTTGATATTCCACCACCGACCTATACTTTAACTAATCTAGATTGGGGTCGATGGAGTACTTTTACAAATATTCCGCCATCGACCCCGAACACATACTCTTACGCTCTCAACGTTCGAGGGGCGATGATGATGTTATATTTCACCCTCACCCCTCGCCATTCACGCTAATAAATACATGCACACACAAAACATACAGACAACACATAAGACATATTATATACAATAAAAAAAAACCAATTCCCTTATATTCTTCTTTTCATACATTTGGCAACTAATTTGTGTAAATTATAAAATTCAGTTTCAAAAAATGCACAAATAAATGTTTTTTATCTTACATAATTTTCATTGTTTATTAAAAATTAAATACATATATATTTTATATTTGATTTCACATATAAATCCGTTCTCTATTTATAATTAATAAATAAAATGTAAAAAGTGTGGAATGACAGTTGGTTGAGAGTTCGGTCGGCAGAGGGCGTTTCGTCCACCTTCTTCCACTTCCATTTTTCCCGCCGGGCCGGCAGCTCCTTCTTCAGCCAGTCTTCCGCAGAAACCCGGCCGAGTTGTGAACCTGTGCTCTTCCGCGACAAAATTCTATCCCGTGCGATAAGTGTGATTTTTTATTTTTTCAAAGCCCTCCTCGTCGATTTTCGCCGTCAACACTTTCCCTGGATTATCTAAGCGGATTTAAGTGAGTTTTAATTTTAGACAAATTTTCGATATTTATATATACTTTTTTTAAATGCGACGTCCGTCATCCGGGCCTACTGCCGGTCACGGTTGAAAGGCCTAGAGGAAATGCCGGGCTTTAGTTCCATTGTGATATTGCTTTTGTTTTCTTCTAAAAAAAAGCCCGTTTTCCTACCCAACGCCCAAACTTTGATCATAAACTAATGAATGCAAAAAAAAAGTCGAAAATGTATTAACTTTTTTAAACGGGGGTTCCCAACAGCACAGGTCCCTCAGGGTATCGGTTTTTTTTAAACTGCATTTTTTGAAAAAAATAACCGACACCCCGAGGGCTGATATAACCTCTGCTGCTGTTAACAGTCTGAAAAATATAAATCTTTGCATTTTGATCAATAAATCTTCAATTTTCTTCGTTATCAATACCTAGGGGCACGACGTGGTCATCGGCGTTTCAGCCGATAAAAAAGGATACCTAGGATGGTAGAGAAACTGAGCCGACGGATCATTGGGAGGTGCGAAACTGGATTGATAGGATGTTTTGTAATTGGCTTTCGCTACATATGAAAAAATTGAATGTTAAAGTGACGAGTATTGATACATAAAATAGGAAACTGTTTTTCCTTTGATCGGACTCTTTGAGTGTGTCGGTAGTTGGAGAGGTTGGTTGACTCCCAAAGTTCGATACCATAAGTCCGTAAGATTTGAGAATCATGGTATGTTTCAACCTTTTGTTGTTTAGTGGAAGTTAAGACATAATTAAACTTGTTAACGTGAAATCCCAAAAAAAGTTTTCGACAGGGATGGTTAAATTCCGTCCTTAAAAAGTAAACAGGTGTGATCTATCCGAGTGTAAAGTTGAATTATTTTAACAATTTATTTTAATTTTCTACTTTTGAAGGCACTGCAAATGGTTCTGAAGGTTTCTGAAAGGTTGCTGTAGCGGCAGCAAAAATGGTTTGGATTGTTTCTGGGGGGAAGTGATGTCCGCGGCTTATAACGTGCAAAGGAGAGGTCCAAAGAGGTTCCCTTGTGGGAGCCAAGTTAGGGTAGATATAGGATATCGCTATGCTCTGTTTAACTCTGAAGTAATGGTCAAACACGTACGATTTTACGATTAGTTATGTGCTGGATCGAAAACAGTAGAAACTTAAAAATATAATACAATACTAATTTTACGGATAATAGCTTGGTATCCAGATTTAAATCTGATCTTTATCCAACATATCTAACATAACAATTTGGAAGAGTAGAAGGATAGAAGAATTGAATTGAAATGGAATTTACGTACATTGATTATAAAATTTCAACAATACTGCCAATCATATCGAAAAATAGAGAAAAATGTTTCATTATTACATTTTAAATTTTATGAACTAGCGCGAAGTTTTAACTTTTCTGTTCTTTAATAAAAATAGATTATTTAAAAAAAATCTTTTGGTGCTAGAATATTCACAAATATTTTTTAACGAACAAACAAGTTCATAAAATTGTTCACATAAAATTTTTCGAAGAGCCTAACCAAATTGTAAAAGACACGAAAAACAACAATATTTCTGTTCGCTTTGTCGAAAGAGGTTATCAACTTTTTTGTTCCATTTGTTTTTATTTTTATTATTATTTTATTTTTATTGCAAATGCATTTGGGGCGATAGGGCAGTAATAAGACCTAAGTTACACTAGGCACATTAATCTGCTGGTCTAAAGCTCGTCAAAAAGGTTGGGTGAAAAGTTAGGCAAATCTATGCAGCACAGGTGGCAATAAAAACAACACCATTAGCTGCTTGAGAAATACTATTAACCCATTGGAAACATGTACAAGTAGAAATTGAGACAAGCTAATACAGACTCCAAAAACAAATAAATTGGATGAGGACTAAATATTTCGGGCATACAACAACGGATAAAATCATGATTCCGGATACATCCTTTGCAACATGCTTTAACATTTTAACAGACTACAATCGAGAAGATTAAATAAAATTATGTGTTATATAGATAGCTTCAAAACCAATGATGGAACTGGATTCTGTCCAAATCCAAAATATGAGCAATCATACTCTTCTAGGATAGTACACCTTGGTTATTCTAGCTGAAATACATGCACTATAAAAAATCATAAAAGAGGTTACACTGACAAAAAATATCTTCTTTAGACAAATCCAAAATCTCTAAAATTTGGAAAACAACAACCTGATGTGCTAGGATATAAAGGAATTCTGGGTATGAAAAGGAAGACAAACTGACCAGAGAACATACAGGTCCAGAATTTGTAGTTGGGATAAAAAGATCAAACCAAATCGAAAACCCAGACAAAAATATCAAGTATGAAGTAATTCTTGTGATACAGGTGGGCTTAACGTTCAGCCCTTCAGGTTTTGCGGACGAGGGATCAAACCTTACAGTACATTACAATTAATTAAGGTGTTTAGTCGAGATAAAAAAAGTCAGTGGCACGAGCGGGATTCGAACCCACGATCTTCGGCTTGATACGCCGCTGCTCTACCCCTTGAGCTATCTTGACCTCGATCCACTCGGATACCAACTTCCCATCTCAACAGCACCTTTTGAATTTTCCCTCCTTTTTGCCATTTTTCAAACCTTAATTAATTGTAATATATTAATTGGTCAAGCGGACCACGAAATTAGTGAACCTTACAATACATTTTTTATATGTATTATTTTAAATTAAAAAGCTATGGGCTATGCCGGGATTCGAACTCACAGCACGTAGCGTGGCAAGTACTAGTTAGATGCCCAAATACTCGAGATGGTACATGAATATTTAATTATTGTAATTAAATGTTACCAACCGACGTATAATTTTACACGTTTTTAAATTTAATTTAATCGTTATGAAATTTTATTTAACGCTTGAGTATACACAAAAACAAACAACATTCATACAAAACATAATATTTTATTGTTTACAGGAGCAAAATTATTCACGTTTTTAAATTAAATTTCATCATTCTGAATAAAACATTATCTTATGGTTGAATATTCAAGTTCATAAAAAATTTCCCACTAATTTCAATTTTTTTTAAGAACCAGAGCTGCCAGGCAAATTGTAAACACCAGGCGAAACAGAAATATTTTATTATTTAATTATTGCAGTTAGATTTTATGGTCTGATACGAGCTTTTATATTTTTTTAATTTATAAAAATCATTCTAAGAACTTATCTAATACTAAAATATTCACACAATAATTTTTTAAGGAACAAACAAGTTGAAAAAAATTTCCAACCATATTGCAGTTTTTTAAGAACCAGAGTTACCAATTGTAAAAACATAATTATTTAAATATTGCTGTTAGATTGTATGGCCTGATGAGAGGTTTTATATGTTTTTTAAACTTATTATAATATTCTGAAAACTTATCTAATGCTAAAATATTCGGACGATTGATTAACGTACAAACAAGGTCGTGAAAATTCCACAACAATTTGTAATTTTCTAAGAACCAGAGATGCCAAACAATTGCAAAAACTAAGTGAAACAAATATTTTATAATTCAGAATTGTAGTCCAATTAGACGGTCGGATACGAGCTTTTTACATGTTTTATTTGTATGTTTATATGTTTTTATTACGGTCATTCCGAAAACATATCTAATGCTAAAAAATCCACAAGATTGATTTTTTAAGGAACAAACAAGTTCGTAAAAATTTCACGCAATTGGTGAAAGCCCCCCTCCACACACAAAAAAAAATCAATTTTAGTTCTATTTTATGGACTTACGTGAGCTTTACTACATATTTTAATGTAAACAAATCGTTGTGAAAATGTTTTTACAATGTTAGAACAAGATTTATTTACATACGAAAAACATTGTTCATAATCATTGTATATGTAAATATTTTATTACGTAAAATGGGATAACGAACAAATTAAAAAAAGCTGCCATTAAAATAAGAAGTGAATAAAACAGTTCTAACTTTTGCTCTTCGTGTTGATGATAAGCACAAAAATTAAAATTAAATTTCAATTTAGTGAGTCGTCCTTTTTACGTGTGCTCTCAAATGAGCAACAAATATTATGCGCACGTATATACGTAAACGTACACACACATAAATAACACTTTATGATTAATGACATAAGCCAATGTTTGTCTGAATAGATCCTCTCTCTGGCTGATGTCTGATATACTGGAAAGGAACAAATACGTATCGTACAACAAACACAGAATAAAGGGGAATATATATTGTGAGGAGATAAGACAACTGATGATTTGGAAATTTTCATTTTTCTAAAGAACCGCTATCAGTTCACTTTATCCTTTTTTTTTCTTCAAATAATGTCTAGATGAAAAGAATTTACGCGACTGTTGCTTATGTCAGAGTATAAAGATCCCCAGTTTAGTCTATTCTCGGCGGTCTTGCGGTTTTTCTAATAATAATTGTTATCGTTTCCCATAATGTAACGTGCTGGCACGAGATTTCGAACATTTTGTTAATTGGCAGTCTATCGTGGTGAACCACTTCGGTGGGCGCTTTCTCATTGACCAAGCCGATCTGCCACATTGCGACTTATCTGGCTTTATTGTGACCTTACTTTTACCTCTCACTCTTGTATTCTTGGTGTTTTTCTTTTTCGAAAAATTTAGTGGCTTTTCGTTGGTATGTTGTTTCATATCATAGAAATATCAGATTACTATTTAAAAATAATTTTAAATTTCGTTGAATTCTGGAAAATAACCTTTTCTTAAACTGTGCAATGGTGTTTTTGCAACAGTTCCTGATTGTGTTGTATAACATCTAGCGTTGAAAGCGTTTTTCTAAACGTTTACTTTTTCATGTAAATGGTTGACTGGTGTATTTGATTAGCGGCTGCAGAGTCATTGATCTTCGTTGAAGACTGCTTTTACCTGTAATAATCCTCCAACAGTAGAAAAACGAATCCAAGAATAATTAAGGTTGGTAAACGCGTATGTACAGTTTCAAATTCAAAAGTCTTTCTTGAGTCGTTGAAAGAGATAAGGATCAAAATTAAAATTAAACCC